AGGCAGGGAGGGAGGGAGGGGGCCGCCCGGCAGCGAGTTCATTTCCCTGGTAATCAGCGGCAAGCTGCTATATTCAGGGAATGCTGTCCCTTTAATTGAACAGGCTAGGTAATTAAATGGCACTTTTCCAATAGGACGTGCTAGGTAAATCTAATAGTTGGTTATTTAATATCACTTTGAAGTCTGCCCACTCAAGCACAATGACAGCACAGGAGCATGTGAACTATTAGCTAGGAAAAAAAAAAACCCAGGATCTCAAAAATTAATTAAATCGCATGCAATTTAGGGGGAACGTTTATCTTGATTTGTCATAACAGAATTAATTCAAGGCCTCCAATTCACTTGGGGGCAGATCTGTTACTCTGAATTAACCAAGCGTAATTTGGCTGTTTTTTTTTTTTTTTTCCCCTTCTCTAATGCAGCACTTGCCATTATGCACAGCCCCCCTTTTAAGTATCAATAGCTTCTGGTGCTTTTAAGGTGCTTGGTCTCTAGTTATTCTGAAGTACCTTTAATGGACTTGGCTCCAGGCGTAATTTCTGTGTTGCTTTTCTTTGTTACGTTTAATATAGCTGGTGCGGAATTTAGATTAAATATAGGGAATGTACAGAAACACCAATCGCTTCTGGATCAGTAGATCTGGACGTGCATTTCTCTTTGCTAGGTCTTGGGTATAAATTTATGGGCAGAAATGTGCACAGTGTTGTGCAAGAATCAGAGCACTTAAATCTGTCTCCACAATTTTGGAAACAACCGGAACCGTATTTTGTTAGTATAAGTTGCTAAAGATGTGTTTCTGCTGATGCTGAATTTTGAACAGCAGGACTGGAAACTGGCCTGAAAAGATTTCATTGGTGTCTTCATTCCCACTCTTGTGAAAGTTCAGAGAGAAAAAAACAATCCAAAACAAAAAAACAGGAGCTTTGTGTGTTTGGGGGTGTGGGGAATGCTGTGTTGGAACCACACAGTAGTTAATTTAAGGTGGCTCAGTAAAATGCTGCTAAGAGCAGAAGAGCTGCCTTGTCCATATAGGGAACCTCTTGATGTTTGTGATTGATTGCATTGCCCAAATGTTGAAATATTAATGACCTTCTTGGACTGAGGACCCAAAGAGGAAACTGAAACCAATTCTGTCATCACAATTAAAGAGTCCCCTGGCTTTAATTAGCCTGACCTGGGGTATCTCTACCCATTGCTGCAGTTAAAGAGAAAAGAGCCCATTAAAGTCCAGTCTGAGACCGATAGCTACTTAATTGAGCACCTAAAGCCTCAAGCCTTTTAAATCAAATACTGTCCTGGACAGTCCCCCTGGTTAGATAATTAGCTCTCCAGCCTCTCAGAAACCCACGTGAAACAACTTTTTCAGTAAAGAATAGTTACTGTGTAAGACTTCCTTTACTGGTATGGAGAAATAACTTTTTTTTTTAAAGGTAGAACCTTTCTCCTGTTAATGGTATTACAGAACAAAACCATTCATAACAGCAGAGAAGGAAGAATAAGCTTAATTTTCCTGGTAAATAATACAAAGCAGCAGAAAGGTGTTTGGACTTTGCAAGTAATTTTTAGGAATTTTAGCAGAAGATTCAGCTAAAGTAGCTTCCCAAAACAGAATTGTTCTGGGAATGTGCTTAGGGAAAATCTAAGATGTGCGGAAAGCCTCTGGATTAGTTTGACTCCATTTATTAGAATTCACAGACATTTGAAGGTGTACAACCACTTCTAGTCAGAGTGAGTTGTATAACAAATGAATGCTTAATGAAGACAAGGAGCGCAATGAGATCAGTGTTCCAAAAGCTGTGGTTTTGGTTTGGGTAGTGTGGTTGTGCGGCGGGTTGTGAGACACTGCTTGACATGTTCGGGTTCTCCCGGACAAGGAACATTGGTCTCTTCATCTTTGCCTTTCTCTTTCCACCCTACCCAGCAAAGCCCTTGCCGCCACCCCTCTACCCTAGATTTTTCGATATTTGCTCTAGAAATGTAATGGTGCCTTGCTGCCTCCTCTTGCAATGCTTCCTGT